GAAACATACCCGGCGCTTCTGGTTGGCTTTTTTGATTCAGGCTCAGTAATCTGGAGGTCTGGATAAAGCCCTGGCTTAGAGGCCACTTTGGACAGTCAGTTTTAGGTACTTTAGGGGTAGTACTGCTGAAAATATGATTGGGACAGTGTGTTAATCAGATTAAAATATTTCTACCTCTGGGAATCATAAAACAAGTGTAAGATAAGCTGATTTATATTTGAAATTGTGGTTGTAATGAACATGGTAATATAGATTATCTATTAGTTCTAAAGGAATTTAGAGCACTTGAACACAATACTTATATTATCATTATCCCCTGTCCTGGCCCATTACACCAATTACACTACCATTTTCATAAGGTTGAAGCGTGCTTATTTTTCTAAATCACAAAAAGCCCTCTGGGCCTTGAACATACTCTACTCAGGCTACCACTGACCACTCATGTTGGACTGAATTGCCTAAAAACACTTTAATTTACCCGTTTCAAATTATTGTTAAACCTCAACTGTCACTGTCCACTGTAAAACTTAAGACTGTCTGCATGGTGATAATTTGATATTAATGGAGGCATGATAATTAAGTACAGTACATGGTGAAACAAAGCTGCTTCTTAGAAACTGTTAAATGCTTTTAGGGATTTAATGCATCGTTTAATGCTGCTCTCAAATTAAAGGATAAGAGCCATTATCCCTGTGCCGCCCAGAGTGAAAGGAATTCCATCTCTTCCCTAAATTGACTTTCCCTCAAACAGTGACACACACACACACACACACACACACACAGAGAAAGAGAGTGAGGTCTATCTATCAATCTATTCATTTCTGTTTTTGATCACACTAACTTACCATATCCTCATCATAAAACATATCAAAACATAAGAAGTAAACACTAAACATCAGAATCGCTGTATTCAAAACCCTGTGAAAGTTTAGATTGAGGTATCGTTGAGTCTGTTTTAATACCACACGCCTATGTCCATATGTAGGTTGAAGTTTCTGGTGACTGGTCATTAATTCCTCTCTTTCTGATGTAAGAAGAAGGACAAACCCCACACACAGACCTCAATCTGTGCAAAAGTGCATTCTTACATTTAGCTGAAGCTGATGGTGTCATCAGATTTAGCCAAATCAAGTGGTAATCTTCCAAGTTTACTATCTTTTTAGTATGAAATTCCCTTCTTGTGTTTCTCTGGAGAGTGTTTCTTTACTGAGCTGCAGTGACCAAGAACTCTTTGAACATACAGATGGACATGTGAGTGTTGTATTTGAACAGACTTGGAAAAAATCAGAAGCTATCCTTTAAATATTCATTTAGATATGCAGCTGTGACTGGTGACATGACAGCTCTACTTTTCAACAAAAAATACATTTAACCAATTAGCGTACCTCATTTATCTTCATTGCTGTGAGTTGTGAGTGATTGGGAATAGGCCCATATTATGTATAAGTCTAAACTGTTTAAATTAAACATATAATCATATATGCCACATATTGTACGTTCATGTTATTTATTTTCCTACCTGTCTGCCTACAATTGAAGTAATTAATTTTAACCATGTTGTGTGTTGTCGGTCCAACACATTGGTCCAGAGTGAAAAGTTTTCAACTATTCAATGAACTGCAATGAAATTCTGCACAGATTTTAACCTGTGTGGATATCATGGTCCCCAGAAGATGACCCCTACTTCTAAAACTATTGACTGAATTTCTGATGCCAATTCTCTCCTCTACCTGATGGCCACTGGTCGACCGCAGTTAAAAACTAGCCCAGGCCATGGCCCTGCCTGTCAGCCTAAAATGCAAAATGTTAGCATGTTAACAGTAAGTCATGTATACAATATTCACTATACCTTCACAGATACCTTTATTAGGCACACCAACAACTCAACGTCTAACAGGTGGCACATGAGTATGCTAATGATGCGCAAAAAGAACAGCTGAGAGAAAAGCTCAGCTCAGGCTGACGTAGTCTGCAGGAAGCTGACAAAGAACAGCTTGAACTGATGAAAGTTGAGCCAAGTCTGAGGCTGAGGAGACAACTTGAGTCTGAGATGTCCAAAAATTGCCACTGTACAGAGTTCTTTTGATTTAGGTAATAACATGCCCCCCCCCCCCCCCCCCCCCCCTTTACAACTGCCCTCAGGCCAAATTTTACATTTGGTGTCATACAAAAATAGCAATAGAAAAATAGTTTTTTCAACATTTATTTCATCCCAACAACCATATTTTGCATTCAGGTGTTGCAATGACTTGCAATTCCTCAATGGGGCTGCTGGTGTGGCTATTTAGTCTTGGTTGCATTAGAAATAAAATTGCACAGTTTGAATGATTTTTACTTATTTATATTTGGCTTCATTTCGTAGAGTCAGCCTTTTTCCTTTCGGGACAATCATCAGGTTGATTTCTTTGAACGAGCATTTAAGCGGTTGTAGCCACCAGATCTTTGATTCCCTTTTGTTTAATTACAACTGAAACATCCGACAACCAGTTAGGTTTTTCACGAAGACAGTGCGTACATTGTGAAACACTCAGGGTTTGTCTGTCTTCTCCTCTCCACACCCAAAGGTGGGTGCTGCTGACTACCCTCTGTCACCAGTTTGTGTGTACACAGAGGACCCAGCCACCCCTTCTTGCTGCGGTCACTTTGCTTGCGAAACCTTAGAACCCCTCTAGACCCCTGGACCTCTGTTGCGCCTGTACGGTTGTAATT